AAATATGTCTCACAAAATATTTGATTTTTCAAAAATGTAATGAGATGTCAAATTCTAAGTGGGGGATAGTGCAATGTAAAAGACTCAAAAATTGTTCATCTTCCTCCAAGAATTTAAGGGCCATTCTATTTTATAACAAAATGATTTAATGAAAGTTTCTTTGATGTGTACATGTCCTACAATCTTGATCACATCCCAGTGTATCTGAGTTGTGTAATATGCATGTCCGCGTTTCTTAGCTTTCAAATGGAATCTCCCATTATTATGCTGATGCTGTAAATCACTTGTTGGGGGAGTTTGTTGAGATGAGATATGTTGTCTTATTATGATGTTACATTGGCCGTTCTCCACTAAATTTTGACACCTTGGTGGTTAAGTTCTTATTAGGAAATGGGAATAACTCATCTCAAAGTTGTCGTCATTTGTAGGTTTTAGTGTTGTCGCCCTCCCATTTGCTAATAAGAGTTGAACTCCCAACTTGTCAAAAGTTTATTAGGGAGATAGCAAAATGGGGACAACGGAGCTCATCTCTACATATTTCTTTTTCAAATTTTTATTTCTTCAATTTAATTTTAAAACTTCTGAATATTGAACATGGGCTTACGATTTTGGTATTAGTCCAATCCTAACTCATGTTATGTAAACTATTGGCAGAAGGAGTTCCTTGACAAGTATGACAGTTTTGCACAACTTGTAGCAAAAATTTACCCAGGCAAGACCATCCCATCTGTCTCAGAAATGAGGGATCTTTTGGCATCCATGTAGAGAAGCAGTTCCTCTTGTAAACTCAGTAGTAGCAGTTTTGGATTGGAGAGTTGAGTTGTGTCCAATATTTTTTATATTTTATTATTATTATTATTTTCCCGAGTCCCAAATGAGTCAATCAAAGGCCGCTTTTATCTGAGGGAAAATATATCAAGACAGATCTACTTACTTTTTGTTAATATTAGTCAGCTTCCGTTCAGAGTTCCGTTATGAAGGATAATAAATGCATTATAGAAATCATGTCACCTGCTTTCAGTTGTTTTCTTTTGATCTTCTTTAAGCATATTTGTTAGGTACGATGGAGTTCCAGATATTGTTGGTAAAGTGAGTAGTGTTTATTATACCGTGGGTTGCCTTGGGCAAATTGGATTGCCTAATTTTGAATGTTTTGTTGGATGCTTACTCGTCCCATTGCATCAATACATTGGACCGTGCAGTGTTGGACATGATTAAAGAAGATAAAATCTTTTTTATTATTCTATATAGTATTGTGTACTAAAAAACACTCGTCAGAACCGCAAGAATTAGCCTGTATCTTTCACCACAATGGACATGAAGCATGGAATAATCTATATACGAAGGATGTAATATTCATCTGTCTGTAGCTTTAGTTTTTATAACACTAATCCAAACATAGGAAATAAGCAACCAAAAAAATAACAAAAAGAATATGCCTATAACAATGATATTCTGTATTTATCTGGCTTGATTATTAAAGTTGCTGAAAAAATAAACAAATTCAGGAGGGCTCTTGTCTTCATGCATTGGCTGCAAAACTGCTTTGATGTTTTATGGAAACGAATTTCTGATAAAATCCTCGACTACCTACCGGTATCAGTGCCAATAACTGCAAGTCTGGAAAGAAGAAATATGGAAGCAGAAGAAACAAATATAGCTGCAGCAAAACAAGCAAGATCCCAACCATTGACCACAGGTATACTCTTGAATTTCTCCAAAACCTCCACTAGAAGTATCATTATCACAGCATGCCCCATTTTCGACTTCGCTTGCATAACAGACTGTATTCCCACCCGTGATGTAATTGTCTGAAAGGAAAACGTGTAAAATTTGAAAACTGCGACGTTCTAATACATAAATAATCTGCGGGGACAAAAAACAAGAAACTAAGCTCCTATTTGGTAGAGATTTTTGGATAGTAGATTTTGTGAAATGCGATTTTTTGAACAGTGTGTGATTAAAAGGTAAGAAAAAGTTATGAGTTTACGTGTAAAATTATTTTATTAAAAATATGAGATGAAAAATGAGTTTTATAAAATGGCAGTCAAGTAAGAGCTAAATAATCCACGACATCAAATACCTCTACATTGAAATTGCCAAACAAGCTCGGTCTTAGATGCTGTGATCCTTCGCCTTTGAGATTGTTTTTACCGACAAACATGACGTATAAAGACATTCCGAAAACAAGCATTGCTGTTCCTACTAGGAACACATCTGCAACCAATTGAGTCATCGAATATTAGATTGTTACACTAACATTTCAGCTACCCAAAAAAAAAAAAAGGACCCTAAAATGATGTCTAAGAACTAAAATTTAAATTGAAAAGGAATGGTGTACCAATAGCTTCGATTAGTAGCTGTACAACATGTTCTTGCTGCATCGTATGTGAGATCGCACGAAAATATTGTAAATATGATTGTAGTATCAAGAAACAACCCTGCAAAGACATTTTCATCGTACTTAGTACTTTCATAAACCGTTTGGTACGGTAGAATCAGTATTTCTAGACAGTATTAAGGGAGAAAATTGTTGGAATTTGTTAACTGTATAGACAACATATTTTTCTGCTAAAGATTCAAATTGAATAGAAATTCTAATCTATGTCTTCATGAATAAAGTCTACTCAATTACCTCAACAAAACACAATACCGAACCAAGCAAAGATCCTCCAATTGCAAACAACGTAAAGAATCTGCAGTCAACTATAGCCTGAAAAACAAGATTCAATGAAAATCCATAATTCTCTGAACAATAATTAGTGAAGAATTCCAAGATTATTGTTTTACGTTTTCAATGAACATCTGGATATCGAATTTCCATGGACTTTGTTTAGTAATCATAATCCACCACTGCAAAATTACATTCGAAGTATTTGCTATTAACACAGCCAAATCCAGCCCTTTCTCCGTCTTTGGTTCTGATATCACCACACAAGCTAAGCCGCCGCCGGCATTCACCGCCGTCTTCTTCTTATCACCACCACCAGTAGACATATTTTTTGAACGCAATCCTGCTTTGCTTAAACACATTTGTGCCATAGACCTTGACACCATTGATGAAGACGCAGAATTTGAAAAACGAGACGAGCCTAGACCTAAAGGACTTGACATTCTTAGAACTCTAGTGGATGCCATTGGTGGTGGTTCAAGATTTCAACTTGGACTGGCCTTTTGAGTTTTGGTAAACTGCGTTCTGGGTTTTACGTGGTTGGGAATTTTCACATGTTTATATAGAGAAAATTTGAAGAAGATTCGTGGCATATTGCTGAAATTGTCACCTTTTGCTTTCTTGGAGGGGGATGTATAGAATTTTCATCAATTCTACATTTGATCAAAACATGCGTCCATTTTTTCCTTCTGTCAGCGTGTGGGCCCAGTGATGTTCTAAGCCGGACACATGGCACAAGACGGTATCTTCAATGGACTTTTGTTGGTCACTTTTTCGCCGTTGGTTTAGTCACAAGTGAAAAGGAATTTGAACAGTGAAAAATCTTTGATTCCTCTCAATTAACATTGGCCGTCTTTACATGAATCGCAAAACAAAAATGTCATTTGTAACAAGTTTAAAACACGGTTCAATAGACAGGGACGTAGTCAAGGGAGAACAAAGATTTTTCTATTGAACTATATAAGAGAAAAAATTTACACAAAAGATGGGCTCGAACCGTCATATCTGCGTCCTAAACTAAGTGTAGATTTTAACGTTTAATTTTTCAAGACTATCACACTTAAAACCCTTCAAATATTATTTTTGAATAATGCAACTTGTACATAATCGAGTTTTATAATGGTTTATGTACAAATGAGATGTCAAAAAATGAATGGTGAATTTTTATTTTTTTTTTATTGAAGAAAACTTCTGATCGAATTATACTTCACCATATCATTTATACGTAAACTATTATGTAAATCATTAGGCACATGTTTATTTTTTAGGTAGATTATATGACATTGAATTTTAATTAATAAAAAAGAAAATAACATTAAAATAAAAACTAAAACGTGAAACTTTTTGGTTTGTTTCGGAATTTTCATTCTGGGAATGTAATTTTGGTTTCCAAATGCTGGCGGTCCACGTGCATATACACGCTAGAAACTAAAGTAGGTGGCACGAGAAAGTTGTAATTGGAGTAGAATAGTCGTTGGAAGACTGCATGATTTTTCAGTGGGAAGGACTAAATGCCAAGTCTCATGCATAAGAAGTTCATACATCTCAGAGTGGCGGACCTACATTTGGTCCCGATGGATCACGTGACCCATCAATTAAAAAGAATTTTTTTAATAAAATAAAAAATGAGTAAAGAAACAATCTTTCCAGTTTCCAATTGAAAGAATTCCAAACTGTCCCAAAACCCAAATTCCAATCCAAAGAAACCTAATCCAAATTGAAATTCAATGCAAGAAACCATCCCATTCCCAATTCAATCCTAACTCCCGAATCTACGGCTCCCAATTTCAAACTTGAAGCAAAATCCAGCAATTTGATCCACCCCTCCCGACCGTTCTTGACCTGACTCCCTCTGTTGATAATTCAACCATCTCAAAGGGCAAAACAAGACAGTAATATCCTGCTCTACTAATTTCAAATGTTTGAGTCCGCCACGACATTTGACTCTTGTATGAACTTGGAGAAAAAAATGATCGAATATTGAACTTTCATATTTAATTGAAATATGTTGACTTCTAAATTTTCGACAACTAATCTATTCATTCACCTGTGAGTTTCCCGTGCCATAAGAATGCAAAATCGTTGCGCCAAGGGGTGCACCATGCAACTATCATTCACTCTATGGTGGTCAAATTCAAATAAGAAAACGTAATTTGACAGTTAATTTGTTGGCTGACCTCGCACCATTCATGGCTCCCGACTTGTATTGGCTTGGGCGTTTAAATCTTCTACCGGTCTTCGAGGCTCTCACTCTCCTTGACTGGGCTCATCTACGATCTTAGGCCTTGACTTGCTCCTAGGCTAATAGGCTCGGCTCATTTGTCTATACTTTGGACCCCTTCTCCCATTTGTGTGGATTGTATTTTTCTTTTTGTTGGATAAATCATTTACGATTGAAAAGTATCTAAATGTGGTAGGCCTTCCAAGTCACCGAACTCCCCAAAATCATGATATTCATCGTCCAATTTTAATTCTCATAAACCCTAACTCATTGGTGTCAATAAAGAAAATTATTGACACGAGCATAGTCGAGTGTGGTTAAAGGGGTTGATACTTTGATTTGTTAATGACTCATTAAGCCCTTGTTTTACAATCATTATTGAAAACTCTTTTTTTGCATACTCATTTTTAATCACATATTCACGCAATAAAATATTCGCACGTAAACGATAAATCCAAAACTTTTCCCACTTTTGAATCACATATTTTCTAAAAAATCACTATTCAAAATATTGTTTTTTCATCAAACATGGGCTAAATTAGGTGTGGATGGGAAATATTTTTTGATAGTTTGAGTATGAATTAGGAATAATATAAAGTTTAGATACTCGTATTAAACATTGACTTAAATTAAATATGGGTGTAAAATATTTGAAGGCTTGAATACGAATTATGAAATAATAATAATAATAATAATAAGTAACTTAATAATACAATTATAAAACACAAACACGCGCTACATATAAGCCAGTTAATTATTTTGAAAGGAAGATAATAATTAAGTTTCTAAAAAAAGTTTTTAAGTTATCAAAATTCAAAATTATATATGAACTAGGTGCTTATTAGTTATTACTTATTGCTTAGAATAATGCTACTCAAATAGGAATTGCATAGAGAGCTAGTTCCATTAGGGGTGGGCGCGGGTCGGTTCGGTTCGGTTCGGTTCTCTTTAGAACCGAACCGAACCAAACTTTTCGGGTATCTAGTAAATGGAACCGTCGGGTCCAAATATAATTATAGAACCGTTCGGGTTCGGTTCCATTCGGTTCGGATCGGTTCGGTTCCGTTCGGTTCTGTACCATAATTAAATTTTTTAACATTTATAACAACGTTATATAAATACGACTAATGATACATTTAATAGTTTTGGAATGTCAGAGATTAGTAAACTACCTTGTTCAAATGATCGCTACGATCAAAGCTTCAGTCGGGGAAAGTCACGGCTTCGATCGGAGGGCAGAGTGTCGACCGACGATTGTATAAGTTTTGGAATATTAGATAGACTGCAAGAGTGAGTTCGAGAGTCGTGACAACGTTATGCACTTTATTGTAGGTGTTTAGGGTTATTTAGTGGATTTGATCTTGTTTGGCTAAGAAATGAAACAATAAAATGGGTAATTGGGCCAAAAATTAAAAAATTAGAAATGAAACAAATTATTGGGCCAAAAATTTGGATTTAGAAATCATTAATTTGTTAATTTGTTTAGAAAAAATTAAAATTAAAATAATTTGATTTACTCAATATAAAAAAAATTAGAAAGATTCGGTTCTTCGGTTCTTGGTCTAGAACCGAGAACCGAACCGTACCCGTCGGTTCTCAATTCAGATACCCGTTCGAGTATTTAATTTGACAAGAACCGTCGGGTTCGGATCGGTTCGGTTCGGGTTCGGTTCGGTCGGTTCGATTCGGGAGATTTGCCCAGCCCTAAGTTCCATACGTAGATGTAGAGAAAGTGGCACAATGATGTGGCTGACTGGATCAGCTTACCATTGATTTTGACTAGTTTTTCTACTAAATGAAAGAAATTGTGTTGGGCTAAAAAAAACCTGATTCACTTTGCCAAAAACGTAAGCTGTTGGAACACGTTTTTCTCTTATTTTAAATGGACTGCCCAAATTTTGCCAAATGTCAAATTACCTACTGTTGGATGAAGACTTCTAATGGCTTCTATATTAATTGGCTTGGCTGGACGTGAAACATAGAACTCAAATTCCTTATTTTCTCTCACCTCACGAGTTCCTCCCTGCCTCTCGTCTCTCTCTCTCGGTGGTCCTTCAATCTATCAATTTTTGCACTCCAAAATTAGCCCCTGTTGATGAGAAATTAATCCAACATTGTATAGATAAGCTTGAGTGATTTAACAAGGTGTATTGGTGTTATTCTTAAGTGAATGCCATTCTCGAATGTATAGAGGCTTATGTTGAAATAATCTTGAGTGATTGTTGTATAGGCTTCGATTCATCATTCTTGAGTGAATGTTGTACGGTTTATGAGGCTTAATTTTGGGGAAAATCTTGTGTGATTTTGGCTTAGACCGGACATATTTTGGTTCCATTGATATAGTGATTTCTTCCGTTTGACGGAAGCTCAAAGGGGCATTAGGAACGAAATTCCAAACCTCTTGCCTTATGGCGAAAATACCACGTTCTTTCTTGTGCTTTCTGCATTTTTTCTTTCATTTCAGTTTTTGCAGTTTACTATTTTTGTTGATTGAAGTGGGCTAATTTTTTGAACTTCTCGTAACAATGATATCAGAGCAAGTTGACGGTGGTTCTTGGTGCCGGTGTTGGTAGATTCGAAGGTTTCTTGCACTGGTTCAGTTGATCTCGTTTGTTTCTTGAAACCCTAATAAGAGATTTTGGTGAGTTCGTTCCATAATTGACGAGTTACATACATAATATTTGTCTATACTGTGAGACTTTTGTAACCGACTTAAAATCCCTAAATTTGAGACTTTATCTTGACAATTCCTTTGTCTAGAAATCGTAAGTTGTCTGGAATCTGAGAATTGTCTTGATTTATAAGTGGAAGATTTTGGACAAATTTTATGTTTTCTGCATGAGTTCATTATACTGTATATGGCATGTTATACTTGTGACTTGACACACTGCTAGTTTTTTGTGTAAACTGCTTATTCATGTGGTGAATGGACTGATGAGATCTTACTGCATAACTTGTATTGTATAACTCACTTGTTAACTGTGCACTTTAAATTTGATTATGGTGTATGACATTTGAGTTCCTGCAAGTAGTATATACTGTTGACTTTGTATGTGATTTGCCTGCACTAATTTTAATCCAATTGTGTTTTGATTAAATCAACTAAAGTTGAATTAGAGATTTTTAATGGTAAATGAGACTTTAGTCTCTGGCGTCAGAAAATGCGAGCCCTTTTACTTCAACAAATATGTGTTAAAGCCATTGATGAGTTATGGCCTAATGATATGGAAGAAATTAAGAAAACTGAACTTGATGAAACTGCATGGAGTTCTATATTCTTGCATTTGTCTGACAATGTTTTTGAGAGAAATTGGCGAGACAAAAACTGCTGTTGAGTTGTGGAAAAAATTGG